CCCCCCCTATGTTGACATGATGGCTCCTACCAATTTTTTTTGGCAGGACCCTAAGCGCAAGAAGGTCTTGAAGCAGCTCGGCTTCGACTGGGGGGACGACGAATTGTATCTATACTTCCAGTGGCCGGAGGTCCTCATCTCCTTTTACTCAGTAATTGTAAGTCCCTCTGCTGTGGTGTTGAGGTTTTTATCGCTGGACTCATGTATGCTCACAGTATCTCAACGGGTGTTGGCTAGAAATACAACCTCAACGGCAGTCTTTGTTTTTTTCGTTTTCGTTTTTATCGTATGCATACCTTTGTCTTTGCTGTGTTGCGTTTTTTTTTCTCGTTTTTTTTCTCTTTGTCGTAGTGGTGCCTCGCTGCGTTGGAAATGTTTATGTGCTTGCGCCCGGTGTTTGTGATTTGTACGTGGAGCGACATCACCGCCTCTGAGCTCGTTACGCCTGCCGCAAAGTGGGATGTACCCGCCTCGCTGCTCTTCATGCGGGATACAGCTGCAGTACCCGCTTCGAAGCGAATCCTTCCCTCCTCTGCAACTGCAGATCCCTGTCGTATCCGTGTCCAACCTACCATTAACGCGTGGCTCTTTGGCGTAATATTGGTCTGCGCCCAATGTACGTACGCGGCTGTCGCAGAAATTGAAGGGGCACCTGGACGTCTCGCCCCAGTACGTGATCCCTCATGAAGACCCCTGGCCGCTTCCACTCCACGGAACCCCCGTGGGCCTGTACCTCAATATCATCCGTGCCCAAAAGGACTTGCTGATGGAGCATTATCCCGAAAGGTGAGGTTGGGTTGGTAGGTACAATAGCGTGAGATATCACACCGCATGAACCGGTATGTGAAGCGTGATTGATTCATCAACAGCCAAGAGAATGCCAAAGTCACAAGGAGTATATTTGGGGAGATCTCGACGAGACGGTTCCAACGCGGCCGTTTTCGGTAGCAGCCGCCGCTGTTGTTGCTGCAGAGAAGTATTCAAGCCCAGAAATTTGGCAGCAGTTCACCATCCGTCGTAACACACATAGCACCAGCACATAGCACCAGCCCCAGCACCAACACCACGGGGGGGAACACGTGCCGCTGAAGCCAAAGCACCATCAGGAAGATCACCATCAGGAAGATCCGTCCCGGGGACACATGACTAGAGGGCGAACTCAATCCCGGTAGACTTGATAATCTGTGCATTTGATAAAAAAAGGCTGCATGTGATATGCGGACCGTACGTACTCCGTACCGCCATTACGTTAGTCTACACGTGAGGCGCACCAACCAGGCTCAAGCTGTGCACAGCTGCTGCTGCCGCAAGCTTTATTTATTCGAAAACCCTTCCAGACGAAACCGCCTCGGGAGTTTGTTTACTGTTCCTGCCATTTCCAGCTCATGCATCTCCATGTTTTGTCAGGAGGCAGTCTCCTACTTTGAGAAGGCGTTGTGTCATTCGCTGGAGGGTTGGACGTAAAAGCACGACACACGGACGGTGTGCCCAGAGTCCCCTCGATCACAGCAATGGAGTGTCGGCTGCTGTGTGCGGGTGGGAAAGTCCATCAGACGGAGACGTCGAGCGTCGCCCGGCGCAGGAGTTAGCCCCCACACGATCACGCTCTTTTTTTTTAAGGTCCACCGCCAACGAAACCCCTTCAATTTTTTTTTTGGCTCCGATATTTGACAAACCATCCATGCACCGCAGGTTTGAGATCCTCCGCAGCATGGGCATCATGTGGAACGAGCCCCTTCTGGTGGACTGGAGGGAGGAAGAGGAACATCTGGTCTACCCGTGGCGAGACTGGGGGGTGGTCAAGAGGGGGCCGGAAGACGACGATGAAGTTGAGATCGCCATTGACCCGGAGTTCGGGTTAGATGGGTCCTCGGCGTTGATGTAGTAGCTAGCGCCCCAACCGTTAGGTTCGATGTGTATGTGCGACCATTGGTGGAGATGTGGGGTGGTCGGGAAGAAGGTCGTCGGAGATGCTGTACTTGCCTCGATAAGTTTCTCCGGAGATCAGCTGATGACGAGCAAAAATGTCCCTCAGGTCGGGCGGGTGTTGCTCCAGTATTGACGGGGGGGTCCGGTATTACTCTGGGATGGGATGGAGAAAGCTTGTCAAAACCCGTTACTGCGGGCTCGGGTGTAGCGAGTGCGGCGATTTTGGCCGGTAGTTTGATGACGGCCTTCGTAGGTCCTGGGTTCGGCGAGGTTAAATTTTCGTAGATACGCATTTCTTGCGACGGGAAGCAGCGTGTGGCAGGTCCGAATTGCGGATCGAAGGCCGGGTACGAAAAGAGGGGTCGATAAATCGGCATGGATCGCGGGTTAATTTGTAGCGCAGAAGCAAGCGCGGGCTGGAATGTTGCTGTTTGTTTTTCGGGTGGGGATGTTTTGCGAGGTGTTGGTTCAGATGGTGGCGACGCAAAGACGAAGCGAGTGTGATGTACCGTTTATTCCGGTGTTGGAGGTTTGGTGTGGAGGTGGGGTGATGGAGGGAAAATGCGTGTCAGAAAACAGGGACTCAACCATTGACATGAACTGAACGTGATACCCGGTACACACAGGAGCGAGACCTGGTCCTTTGGCGAATAGGCTGGTTCCTCTGGTTAACTGCCGTGTCCCCCTGCCTATTCTCCCTCTTGAATCTACGTATAGGCCCTTACGAGCATGGGCCTAAGTATGTTTCGCCATTCCTATGCTATGCATACCTCATCTGCAATGAATGGTGGGCGGTGTTGGTTGTAGCCTACAGCACGAGCTAGCCCACAGGACGAGTTTTGGGTATTCCCAGATGGCTCGTTCGTTGAGGTACCGTACGATACTCGCCATCGGCTGCACGTGGTGTGAGTTCCCCTGCGTCCTCAGCTGGCTTACAAAAATGATCAAATGATGGGTGGGGTGGTGAAAGACCTTACCGACACCCTCTTTCACCCTTGACGTTGTTGGACGTGCGGGACGTCCGGAAATTTCGACTGATTCAATCCCAGGTTGGCTGCCCTCTACATTCATAAACAAAGGAAGGTGGATGGATAGTGTCTGGCTCGTTCTTTTCAAGAAACCAAACAGTTCCGCAATGCGGAATCAAGCAATTAATTCCGCAACACGGAACCTGCGTAGAACTCCCAAGCAAGCAGATTCTTAGTAGAGCAACAAGAAAAAACTTCGCCAGCAAAAACACGAAGTGCTCCGAAAAATACTCGAGGCGTACATGAGTACATGCACACAAGGAAGGGAAGATGGACCCGTACATCCTGCACCTCCCATCTATCAAGCGGCCGACGCTCCTCGTCGTCGTTTTTTTTTTCCCCGCCGACCAGGTCAGGTCATCTCCCCCACCGACGCCCCGGAGCTGTGTAAAAAAAAAAAAAATCCACCAATAAAAACCTCGTTACCACAATCCACGTCGTCAACGAAGACTTGGCAATCAAACACAACCGGTTGCGTCCCCCGTATCATGCATCGTATTCATGACAAACTTCTTTTTTAGCGCGAAGAGCAAGCTATTATTGTAGACTACAGACAGCGCATGCACTTAAGAACTTAGCACTTGAAGAAATTGAGACCCGCAAGAAATCAGAAGCTAAATTAACTATTAATAAGAACTTGAGCACCATTTGTGAGCTCGGGTGAGAACCCCAGACTAAAACCGATATAGCGGCCATTTGTAGCCCACAAGAGGATGACCAGCAAAAAAATAAGAACCCCAACCTCGGCCGGAACTAGCGGTTCTTTGGCATCTATCTGTAGACTACTAGACTAATAAACTTTTGAAAAGCTGCTTGAGCTTACCTGTAGTACAATGCTACGGGCTCATTCCGCGTCCTTCAAGGAAGTGTGCCAACACCTCAAGAGATCAGTGGGCCTCAGCGGGAGACAAGCGGGGGGACAGCAGTTCGTCGCGGATGAGAACGGCGTGTTGCTCCGGAACAAGGACGACATCCTCCTCCAGCGGTGGCGAGATTCTTCAGCACCCTACTCAACACCAAATCCCCCACCCTGAACCCAGACATAATCGAACGAGTGACGCAGCGGCCAGCGACACGTGCCACTCAACGGTTGGGAGAGGTGCCAGAACTTGAGGAGGTGGCACGGGCAACGAAAGGCCTCAAGAACTGGAAGGCACCCGGCCATGACTCCCTCCCTGCCGAGTTGTTGCTCAAGATCGATGACGACGAACTCTTCGTCCTGGGACNCGTCGCGGATGAGAACGGCGTGTTGCTCCGGAACAAGGACGACATCCTCCTCCAGCGGTGGCGAGATTCTTCAGCACCCTACTCAACACCAAATCCCCCACCCTGAACCCAGACATAATCGAACGAGTGACGCAGCGGCCAGCGACACGTGCCACTCAACGGTTGGGAGAGGTGCCAGAACTTGAGGAGGTGGCACGGGCAACGAAAGGCCTCAAGAACTGGAAGGCACCCGGCCATGACTCCCTCCCTGCCGAGTTGTTGCTCAAGATCGATGACGACGAACTCTTCGTCCTGGGACGACACCTCCATACCATCCTCGTCAAGGTGTGGAACGGAGGAGATATCCCGCGAGAGAGAGTGGTATAGGATGCAACCATCAAGGTGCTGTACAAGAAGGGTGCGACCGGTCCAATTGCAACAACTACAGGGAGATTTCGCTACTATCTCATCATCATGTAGACTAGAGGCAAGCAAGGTCCACATACATCAAGATCATCACCAACCAACCGTCTGAGCGACTTCTGCGAAGCCAACAACATCCTCCCGGAGGAACAGTCAGTGCGAATTTCGACCGGGGCGATCCACTGTCCACATACTGTTCGTCGTGCGCCGCCTCCAGGAGCTGGGGCGGAGAAAGAAAATACTGCTCTAGACTACATTGTTGCTGTTGTTGTTGTTTCGGACATTGGCAAGTTTCGGAAATGCGTTTTGAAAAGTTCACTTTCACTTTTTCGGGAAAAGAGCCAGTTTATGGCCGCCATAAAAATGAACTTTCGACCCCAGGAAGATTTTTTTAGCACGAAGGCCAGCTGGCGTCTGTAAAAGCTGAACATTTCCGTTCCTGTTCAAAGTTCATTTTTTATGAAAGGGAACTTAGCAGGACAGCAGTAGTAGCACAGCAGCACCGCACAGACAGACCGCACCAGACCACACCAGGGCGAGTAGCGACGGGAAGGATGTCGACCAACGCAGTCCGCCAAAGCTCGAGGACCGTAGCCCCCTCTTCTAAAGTTCGTGATAGGGTTAGCGACGACCAGGAGACTTCTTTTCTGGCAGCAGGGCAGCGGAAGGCTAGGGAACTGGAGGAGTTCGGCGGAGAAGAGTCGAGAGACAGCAGTGGCGGCTCTGGCAACCCACCTCCTCCTGCTGGTGGTCTTGAGGAGGATGGAGTACAGGTCCTGTCGACACCGCGTGGCAATGTGCAGGCTAAGCCACCAAGGAAGGGCAAGTGGACGCTTCCATGCATGATCCGCGTTGCTGAGAAGGGTAAGTCTCTACTGCTGTGTAGATGCGAGAGCACGGCTCTCTTTCTACACATGGTCCATCTTGGGTCTAGACCGCCGTATGTCCTGCTGCTGTTGCCTTGATTCGCAGATAGGATATAGCTCTGGCATGATGCGATAGGATCCAGCTCCGGCATGATTCGAATTTGCAGTTGTACGGCCGCCATCTG